TTGCTTGGATTTTAATATAAACCCTAAAAAAAATATGAATTAAGGATATATGAAAGAAAAACTCAAAGAATCGTGAGTTAAGGCCCTGAATTGATCAAAATATTCGGGATTTAAGTAACATTAAACTAACTCACTAGATGAATTCCACTGCCTATGAAATTTTAATGCTAAGCATATTATAGCATATTGAAGTTATATATGAAATTTGGTGGTCATTGAATAAGAATAAGTAGGTAAACCAAGAAATAGTGCAAAATGACCATAATGCCCCTATGGATATCTATCTACCATTCATGATCTTGATGACCTCCAATTCTAACCTAAGACTATGAATTATAAAAACAAATACAAAGAAGTTTAAAATCGATGAAATGCAAAACAACCTATTTTAACCTAAGACTAGGAATTTAAGTATGAGTCTACCATATGCAAGTGCCACATTCTCTGCTCGCGATGTCGCCGTCCTCCGTACAAGTGCACATTGCCTTTATCTAAAAAATGATGTGCATCATATGCTTAAAATGGAAAACATCAACATATTAAGACAAACATCGTGTAATCATCATACTCATTATAATATGCAAGTGCCACAGTCTTTGCTTGCAATATCGCAGTCCTCCGTACAAGTGCGTCTTGCCTTTATCTAAAAAATGATGTGCATCATATGCTTAATATGGAAAACATCAACATATTAAGACAAACATCGTGCAATCATCATACTCATTATATCGCCATAAAATGCATCAAGCATATCAAGTACGTCATACATCAAACTATTGGGTTTTATGTTCTAAAACTCATAGTTTGTAAACAAAGATATATTCTATTTTCAATAAAGTTATTATTGATGTTTATTCAGAAAAAAATTGTTATTGAATAAAGTGAACTTTACGATCATTAATCTAAATCCAATAAACTAAGAACACTCTGGTTATAGTATGATTACTTGAACTATATGTAGAGACATAAAAGTGGATCAAGTCCAAGCATATAGTCAAAAGGATCTATAGTATAAGGATAAGGCTGAGTACCTTATTCTGAAGACACTATGGATGCGGCCAACTTTTGTATATGATATAAACAATGTGATCACTAAATTGTACATGTAGAGACATGTGAGTGGGGGCGTCAATGAGTATTGCATAAGATCGGACCATGAAGAAAATCACTCTCACTTTATAATGTCGTTTACTGTTGAGAGTGATTTTCTTTTCATTCGATGACCTAGGTAACTCGATCTTAATCCTGAGCTAACCATGAACTCCTGTTCATTCGGAATTATCCTTAGATTTGCATGGGTGAGAGTGGCTCGAGTTCGCCGACTCAATAGGCCTCTCATTTCAGGGGTAAGACTGAATAGCTGGGGACGTGGGGTGCAAGATGAAATTCGCTCCTACCCACTTTTAAGAGAGGTAGTTCCCTTAAGTACTGACTCCAAGTCTTGAACAAGGGGCCCCACCCACTCATTGGCCTGAGAGGGATTCGGTTTACTGGTTGGACCACAAACCAATTGTTCATAAGAGGATCAGTGGAACATAAAGAACAAGAAGTAACTTCAGGGGTAAAACGGCTAATTGACCCAACTCTAGTAACGAACAACCTGTGAAGGATCGACTTACTAATCATGGTTATATCAAATGGACATAAATATATCTATAATAAGGGGAGTGCAACTACTAGGCTATAGTGGAGTGTCCTAGTAGTTAACGAATGTTGGTTAACAAGATTAATGAGTTTAACCGGTTAATCTTGGATCGTTGGAGCCCATGATCTATAGGTCCATTAGGTCCCTCTGCTAGCTCATATCGGACTAAACCATAGAACAGTGTGACGAGTGAGTTCAAGTATTCGAATTCAAATTCGGGAATATGCGTTACATATATACGATATATTTAACCGCATTTTTGTTTTATTTACGAATTAAACAAAAAGAGAGAATATGAGATATTTAAATAAGATTTAAATATCTTAATCAATTATGTGTCGAAATTGATTGGGATTGGCATTTGAATTAATATTAAATATTAATTAAATAGTTTAATTAATCATTTAATGTTACTTTAATTTGAAATTCATTATTCAAATTAATTGTTGAATTAAAATGAAGAAAGTTGTTGACTTTCATCTAATGGAAAAATCCATGTTAGTGGAATTTTGAAGTGTCAAAATTTGGTTTAACCAAACTTGCATGTTTGCCAAATAAACCCCACAAGTTTGAGTGGAATTTTGAGTGTCAAAATTTGGTTAACTCAAACATGCATGCTTGCCACATAATCCCAAACATTTGAGTTGAATTTTAAGTGTCAAAATTTGGTGATCTCAAATTTGCATGAACATGTAAACATGGCTCTTTAAATAGAGTGATCATAGTACATAGAAGGTCTTCTTCTTGGTGAAAAACCTTGAGAAAAACCTCTCACAAACACTCTCTTCACATATACAAAATTCCTCCCAAGTTTAGTCACTCACCGGATTCCACAATCCCGTTCTAAGGCCGGAGAATAGTGGAGAAGACACTAGTGGTGGTTCGAAACCGGTTCGTGAGGAAAAAGGAGTTTGAACTAGGAAAGGTTAGTATCTAAACTCATCAAATTTTAATACTTATGAACATGCTAGTTTTTTTTTACTATAATTGATGTTCTAAAAGTGCCTAAGATCCAAATTGCTTCCGCATGTGTTATATTAACACCATCACAAAATATATATATTACGCACATCATCAAGCATCATAACTCATACATCATCATATACTAGTACACGACATCATACAATACAGTTAATACATCATCATAGCTCATACATCATAAATTGTAACTCATACAATTTCTAGTATATTCTATAGTAAAACCACTTACTTGGTTGACCTTGGCCAAATTTCTCTCTAGCTCCAAATTTGCTTGCTTTCATTCTTCAAATTCGTTCTCACTTATATCAAAACTTCATCTATTTTGAACATAAACTTAATTGCCTAAAAAAAAATTGAATTAATATGTCAATATTTTTTCATGCGGCTTGGATCATTCAATCCAAATATTGTTTGTTATAATATTACATTAACGGAGTACAAATAATAATAATTTCTCCGATATTTCATTTTCCTTCCATCCAAATCTGTCCCAGTGTCTTTATTTCTATTGCATTCTATCTCATCGTATCAAATTCTATTATGCGATATTAGAAATGAAATTTTAAAAATAACATTAACGCACAAATTATTTTCAAACTTTTTAATATTAATTTTAAAAGTCATTATTTTTAAACGTGTACTAACTCTGAATGTATTTTTTAATTTTTTAAAAAAAATTAAAGAACTTAAATGATTTTTTTTTAAACTCCAAGTATTTTTGAAATATTTTTAAAAGTTAAGATTTCTGTCTCAAACCAACTGTAAAAGTTTTTTCTTTATTTTTTTTTAATGTTTTAAGAGGACTTTAAAACATTTGAAAGTTTAAAAAGTATATTTTTAGAAAAACTAAAAAATTTTAAGGTATTTTTATTAACTACGTAACTAAATGAAAAATTAATAAAAATAATTTATTAAGATGAGAATAATTTAATATTATTTTTGTTTAATCCTAACTTTAACGTGCTTTATTTGATAAGTATGCGATTTTTATCTGACTCGATTCAATCTTAAATATTGAAAAAAAAAAAATGGTCAAATTGAGGTTGAAAAGTCAAACACTTACATTGGTGGTTTGAAACTTGTGTTACAAGGTGAGGAAAGTGGACGACTTTCTTTTGGGAAAAAAACAAAACGAAAAGTCGAAAATTTTGGCTACTCAAATCGATGTCTAGTTGTAAGGATGTTCGAAAAAAAAAGAGGGTCATTACAGATATCTAAAATAGGGGTATGCATTAAACTCGAAAATCTAAACCGACTCAACTCGAATTATAAAGGGTTGAGTTGGATTAGATAGCATTTCAGGTTGGGTTGAATTAAGTTTCTAGAATTGAACAGATTCGATTCAAATTTCGGGTTCATTAGACAAAATTTCGAATTGACTCGAATCAAACAAAATCTTATAAAATATAGTGAAACACAAGGCCAAAATCATACACCTAAAAATTTCATACCATTTTTAAACCCTTAATTTATAATATGAATAAACTAACAAACAACGGTATAGTTTTATACTATTTGGAACACATTATTTATAATATGAATAAACTACAACTATCTATAGGTTTTGTCTTAGTGGTAAGAATATGATTTATAATAGGTTAATTTAATATGATTTAAAAATACTCGTTCACTTTTTAAAACAATATTAAAACGTTTGTAGATGATTTATGAAGTGCTGATAGACGGTTTTCATTCATGTAATAACGGAGGTCACCACTAGTATAAAATAGAGATAGGTATCTAGAGCATATTTGTATGTGTACGCATTCTAGCATAACCCTGTAGTGGAGTCAGTTACTAAGTATTCTTTGAAATATTGAGCCGTGTGTCATCATTTTTCAAGTAAAGATAATGCGTCCATGTACGGATGACGATGACATTGCAAGTAGAGATCATGACACGAGTAAGAATAGTTCGTAAAGAAATTATAAAGTTGAGGATATTTTTATTTTTTAATTGAAAAAGTAATTGGGATGGAGAAGAGAAGACGCGTTGTTGATAGCTATTTCTTCTTACTTGTTTTACTATCAAATTTATAGCTATTTATGTTGGTGGTTACTTTCTTTCAAAGCATTCTGAAACCAATAATGGAATTTAAAAGAAATGAAATAAATAACACAATAATCGAAGGAGATAGTTTCTTTGTACGAAGGTATTTGTAGTCAAACGTATTAACGATTATTGACTTCTTAATGCATGATAGTGACATCTCATGATGTTTAATGTTCGGGTTTGAATAAGTCGAACTTATTGACTCAAAGTTTAGTCACTATTTGAAGCACACGACATAATATTACATATTCGTGTTAGAATAAATGTTGTATTTTGAACTATGGTTTGATTTCATCACATAGAGAAGGGAAAGGGATAAGAGAAGAAGCAATTATTGAAGGAGGGATTGAGGAGTTCAAGTTGGTTTTCTCCAATCAACCAGCCTCCACTATGTTCACCAACAATGAAATCAAAGCAGAAAATGGTGAGGCTGTGAGGGTTGAAATTTGTGATGCCACAACCAATGCGATAATCAGCACGGGTCCTCTATCATCGGCCCCGGTTGGGCTCATCCTTCTCGGTGGAGACTATGATGAAACCAATCGTAGTTTGAGTGAATTCAATCGAAACATTTTGTCCCCAAGAGATGGGAAGGGAAAAGGCCTTTACTGGTTGGCAGGGATATCGAACTCAACTTGGAGAATGGTGTTGCTTCCATTAAGTGTGTGTCTATCACGGACAACTCGAGTTGGATGAAATCCAAGAAGTTTCGTTTTGGAGCAAAGATTATTGATAAAAATATTCTAGCCATGTATCCGACCATTGAGGCTGCTGTTGGTCATGGATCACCGTGGAGAAGGTAAGCTTGTCTCTTTAATAATTTTTTGCACGATTGAATGGATGATTCTTCCTTTTTACATGATTTCAGTGAACAAGAAGCATCATCCTCCGAGTAGAGAAGACGAACTTTGGCGACTCGAAGGCATAGGAAAAGATGGCATATATCACAAAAACTTATCCTCCTACAGCATCAAAAATGTGAACGACTTCTTGCTAGAATACCAAAAAATAGGTCCTGAACGTCTTAGAAAGGTACCCCAACAAAATTAAAATGAATAGACTTATTTGGAGTAGAAGTTATTTGTCATTAAACACTGAAGTACCTTGGTATCTAAGAAACTCTCTTCTTATTTCTTTCTACTTCGATTATTCATCTGTTTCGATCGAGGGTCAAAACCAACAAACTGACAATTTGTGCAGCTGCTTGGTAACAAAGTTCTCGATAAAATATGGATAACGATGGTTAAAAACGCTTTTGAGTGTCAGAGCTATACCATATACGAGCCATCCTCAGAAGTTACACTCTCTTTGAACTTTTATTTCTGTATGCTAAAATAGAGAGATTTAAACTGAGTCGATGTTATATGAAAACAGGAATATTTGCCGCCAACTAATGTCATGGTAGATGAAGCTTTTAACGAAGGCCTTCACATTGTTGAGCAAAACAATTTGGATTATGAGTATGAGAGTCTAGGAATGTACTCTACTACTGATGACTTTGGATATAGGCTTGAATGTTTGTTAAAATTAATATTAATTTGAATCGCAGATTTGCCGCCATTGTTTACCGAGGATGACTTTGGATATAGGCTTACTGGTACAGTGACTTAAAAAGTGTTAAAACATTTTTAAAGTTTAAGATCATTGCTTTAAAAATGTTTTATTTTTTTTCTATGAATGCTATATTTGCATCATTGAATTTGGTTATTCTATCTTTCAACGTGAATGCACTGTTGGGGTTAAATGCAAGAACATATGAATGCAATAACGGGACTTATCCTTTCAATCCATTTTTCTACAGTACTATCCTAATGGGTACTTGGATGTGTATCATATACTCTATACACAGTCCATACATGTGAGTATGGACTCACCAGTCAGTTCACACACCGATGGCCAATTTCTTTGTCGAGCGAGTATACTCTGGGAGCTACTTAGGCCGGACACCCATTAGAACTAGTAACCGTCACGGCAGCATTATGTAAAACATAATGATCGTATCCCTGTGCATTAGTGTACGCGTTTGTACCATAGTGATCAAATAGGGGTATCCCCCAATGCATGAGCACACATAATGCATGAGATCCCAATATTTTTTTCATTTTCATTATCATTTAATATAACCTCGCTAGCATTCTGTACATGTCATATTATTTTTTATATCATTTCACATATCGCTTATCATATCATTTATCATATCATTCATGCATACACCGGGGTTGTATTTCATGCTAGTTCGTCATTTTTCATGTCAATCATATCATATCATTCAAATTACATAAATGTATCATATCATAACATTTCATGCTTCCAAACATAACAGTTTTCATCATATACATATCATACTATAATATATCGCATCACAATATATCATATCATAAATATGTCAATTTATCACATATCTCGTACCATAACATATTTCATATCATTTTCATATCATATCACTAAATATAAATATATATATATACACACACACACACACACATATATATATATATACATATCGATCATTCACATGTTGTATCATAATCATATCATATCGTAAACACTTCGTGGTCTTATCATTCCCTAACTTATCATAGCCATAAAATTCTTATACCTATTACAGTCATATCGTTACATGAACTTACCTTAGTCATATCGTTACAAGAACGTATCTTAATACTATCGTTCTATCAATCTATCATAATCCTTTCTTGGGATATCCCACATTTGTTGGGGAGGAGAATGAAACACACTTTATAAGGGTGTGGAAACCTTTCCGTAGTAGATGTATTTTAAAGCCTTGAGGGGAAGCCCGAAAGGAAAGCCCAAAAAGAACAATATCTGCTAGTGGTGGGCTTGGGACATTACAAATGGTATCAGAGCCAGGTTCTGGGACAATGTGTCAGCGAGAAGGTTGTTCCCTAAAGGGGTTGACATTAGGGGGTGGGTTGTGACCCCTTATAAGAGTGCCTTTCCTAGCAAAAGCATTTTAAAGCCTTGAGGGGAAGCCCGAAAGAAAAAGCTCAAAGAGAACAATATCGGCTAGCGGTGGGCTTGGGACGTTACATATCTCTTTCTACCGATAACCTAACCATATTCTTTTTATCAATCTCTCATATCTATAACACTTGGATACGTAACTTAACCTTAACGTTTCATAAACATATCTTACTCTGTTAAGAATGAGAGTGCTCTGATACTTTGTTAAGAATGAAAAATAAAAGTGGGCTGGAAAGTCGAATAAATAGAAGTGGGATCAAAAGTCCAATTTTCATTCATGTTCACAACTTGTATACAAGCTACAAACGAAATCCTAAAAATAAGAGAAAATATTCTATCAGATAATATTAACAATTCCTAAATATGAGGGAAAAATCTAACTAATTCTATATAAAATATATTTCGATATACTCCTATCATTGCATTATGTTGCATTCTTCTCATATCATATTTCAAACATATCATTAAACACAGCGTACCGTAAATATTATCATACAATTTACATATTATAATATATACATATCATATCATAAGCATATTGATCCATAAAAAATTCACACAATCAATATATATGACACGTGTAGAACCACAGGGCACGTGTCAACATCAAATATAACCATGACGATAGTAAGACCACTTACCTGATCAGCTTAGGCTATTGTTACCAGTTTATCTTTAGAAAGTTCAATTATGTCCTTTGTATCTAAGTCAACCTATATTAACCATGACGTGTCAACATCAAATATAACCATGACGATAGTAAGACCATTTACCTGATTAGTTTAGGCTAGTATCACCAGTTTATCTTTAGAAAGTTCGATTCTGTCATTTGTATCTAAGTCAACCTATATGAACTATGACATCAATTTCTATTTCAATTGTCTAAATTTTAGAATGGTCCATGTGGTAGACTTCACGAGAGAATTAGCGACTTTAGGAGTACAGTCTTGGAAGGTTGTGTATATAATTCTATTTTCATTAAATATCTTATTCTCTATTATTACTGTTTTACGGAGATATTGTTACTCGAAAGAATTTGATGGAGTTTGTTGATCGTGATATTTCTTCTGTTTTATCCACCAAATCTTCCATTTTCCTCTATTAATTTCGAGTGCTTCCCTTCTTACGTATTTTAATTATGTTCACCATTGACTCGTTAGATTTCATATATGTATTCCTTAAATTATTCTTTTTTCATCTATATATTTATTCTGTTAAATTATCTCTTTTTCCTTTTATTTTAAAGTGATTTCTTTTAGCCTAAATGCTAATTATAATCTAAATAATTGGATAAAGAAAAAATGAGATAGATGAATAATGGGATAAAGAAAAGGAGATCGGATTGTAAGTTGATTATAAAGAAAATGAAATCTGAGATAGGATTTACAGTAATAACAGACCAAAATCTCTCTCGAAGTAAATTTACATCATATCTGCCTTTGCCGTGAAACCCATTTTAGTTTTTCTCAAATCTGACATTTATTTTTGTTCTTATAGGAACTGTGATATTCTACCATGGGTTGAGGAGAGACAACGGAATTGAAATGAGAGGTTAGTGGAGAAAACTGGATAAGATTTTTCTTTTTTTTACACCATGACTTTTTTTTTTTTTTTTTTATGCTCAAAGGTATAAATACTACTAAAAATTCAAACATATCTTTGAAACAAAACACTAACTTCATTCAAAACTAAAGTTAAAAGTATTTTTTAGAATTTTTTTTTAAATATTAAAGGTATTTTTTAAAAACATTCTATTCTAGCCTAAGTCTAAGAAAATAAATGAGACTATCCTATACATGTGTCATGGTCTCAAGTTGCAATGACGTACGTGATTGTCTTACTTTAACCTGAAATAGAAGTAGCACGCAATTTGAGTATTTAAGAAATAGCCAATGACCCCACTCTTTGGGTTAAATGCAAACACATGCAATTTCATAAATAGAACCTATCATAACAGTCTATTTTCCTACGGCCGCTATTCTAATGAGCAACTTGGATGTGTAATTACTTTCCCCACACACGATCTACACGTGCGAGTATGGACCCACCAGTCGGTTCGTACACCTCCTGGACCCCTTTTTATTCGGACGAGCATATTCTGGGAGCTCTTGATGTCGGACACTCGTTAGAAGTAGTGGCTATCACGATAGCATTATGTTAAACATAATGATCATTTTCTTGCTGATTGTCACAACATTATAATAAACATAATGATCATTTTCCTGCTTAGTTATCGCAACATTATGATAATCATAATGATTGTTTTTTTGCCTCGTAACGTATGCATCCATACTATCGTGAAGGATAAGAGATATCCCCCAATACATGAGCACATAATAATACATGAAGTCTCAACATTTTTCCATTTTTATTATCATTTAATATACTCTCGAACAAATTGTGGGTACCAAATGGAAGGACCTCTTAGTTCAAATTGTGGGTACCAAATGGAAGGCCTCACTTCACTCATTATAGCCCACATCACCTTTGGCCTCCAACTACTCGAAATGGGCGGTTGCATAAGACAGAATGTAGTCACGAATTTTAGACAAACTGGTATAATTTTCATAGTCGTTTCTTTTCCCCCTATCTTTCATTTTATTTCGAGATGTCATAATTAACTTGTGCAAATTAACCTCTGAAATAGAGATTTTAATCGAAACTATATTCTCAATGCTACTTCTATTAATAAAATCAACGTACTCGAATTGCCTTTTGCACTCTTTTTAGTTTGTGACGGACGACAATTATCATGACCCGATTTTATAGCTATTCGAAGCAGGAATTGCAATGTTCGTTGATTCGAAAGGAAGAAAAATATTGTAAATTTACATTATACCAAAATACAATTTTAAGCTTATTTACAACCAATGAAAATAGTGCATAAAGACTCGACGAGAACAAAAAGATAAAATCGACAGAGGCTCTCTGGCCAAGGCTATATCTCTATAGCACCTATTTTAGACCACTATCGTCCCTGACTAGCATCTAGTCATTATCTGTGAAACAAGTATAAATGGGAGTGAGTATAAAATACTAATAAGCAACCCAGTTGTAGATTCTAAATCGTATCCATGATTGATGTTAAAGTATCATACTCTAAAGTTGATCGTAAGGTATAAACAGAATTATGTTCTGAGAACCTTGGTCATGATGTTCTAAGTTCTGAATTTTGAGTACTTGATCAACTTGGTGTCTGATCTATGCATTTATATGGTCTCTTGCCATAAAATGAGTTTAGAGTAGATTTCAATGGGCCGTCCATTTCCATTCCATATAAAATACATTAGAGTAGTTCTAACCCTAAAACACTCCCTTGAAGACGTACTATATCACATGGTCGGTAACAACATGAACCTGATGAAAAATTTATATTTGAGATTTGGACCAAGATTCAGAATCCAAATGGTCTATAATGGCTCAGATATTCTCTTGTATCTCCGACCACATAATCTGAGTCAAATATCCCACAAAGTAGAGTATCTCACCTAAGCGAAAAAAATATGAAATCATGATATACCATACAAAGGAAGGTCTAGGGTGATTCCGGGCACAAGACAAGTATGGGTAGAGTGGTAAGTAGCTAATAATGCATCATATTAAGGTTACCATCTTGGTTGTGCATT